AATTTGAAATTGAGTCGTTCCATTGATATTCACATTCCAACTCTGCATAAGTATGTTAGTGAAAGCATCGTGTTGAATCCACATGTTAAAAAATTTAAAAGATTTGGGCCTAAGAGAGGTATTATTGAGTATAGATATCACGGTAGCCGTGTGATCAAACTCAACCTCCATTTCATCGAAATGGGCCTTACACTTGATCCCTAGGTGATCCCATGTATTATTGAGCAAAACCCGATCAAGCTTAGCCCACAAAGATCCCTTATTCCAAGTATAGAATTCTCCCGTGGAGGGGGCATCTTGGAGGCTAGCACGGATTTTAAACTCAATCAAATCTCTTAAAAAATAGTTCGAGGGTGGATTCGAACCCACCCTCTCACTAGGAGAACAAACACAATTAAAATCACCGGCTATAATCCACGGGTCTTTGATTTGATCCCCAAGAAGAGCCAAGTATTCCCATAATGCCTTGCGCCTCAAGACTGTATAAAGTGAGTATACAAAGGTAGCAAAGAAAACAGTTTGCGAAGTGCGGCATAGACATTTAAAATGCAGGAGTACCGCTGATCCGGCAGGAAGGCATTCGACAAAAAAGAAAGTAAGACCAGGAGTACCGCTGATCCCGCGGGAAGGCATTCAACAAAGAAGAAAGTAAGACCAGGAGTATCGTCGATCCGACAGGAAGGCATTCAACAAAAAAGAAAGTAAGACCAGGAGTACCGCCGATCCGACGGGAAGGCATTCAACAAAAAGAAAGTAAGACCAGGAGTACCGCCGATCCGGCAAGAAGACATTCAACAAAAAGACCAGGAGTACCGCCGATCCGGTGGGAAGGCATTGGACAAAAAAGAAAGTAAGACCAGGAGTACCACTGATCCCGCGGGAAGGCATTCAACAAAGAAGAAAGTAAGACCAGGAGTATCGTCGATCCGGCAGGAAGGCATTCAACAAAAAAGAAAGTAAGACCAGGAGTACCGCCGATCCGACGGGAAGGCATTCAACAAAAAGAAAGTAAGACCAGGAATACCGCCGATCCGGCAAGAAGACATTCAACAAAAAGACCAGGAGTACCGCCGATCCGGCGGGAAGGCATTGGACAAAAAAGAAAGTAAGACCAGGAGTACCGCTGATCCCGCGGGAAGGCATTCAACAAAGAAGAAAGTAAGACCAGGAGTATCGTCGATCCGACATGAAGGCATTCAACAAAAAAGAAAGTAAGACCAGGAGTACCGCCGATCCGGCGGGAAGGCATTCAACAAAAAGAAAGTAAGACCAGGAGTACCGCCGATCCGGCAAGAAGACATTCAACAAAAAGACCAGGAGTACCGCCGATCCGGCGGGAAGGCATTCAACGAAAAAGAAAGTAAGACCAGGAGTACCATTGATCCGACGGGAATGCATTCAACAAAAAAGAATGTAAGACCAGGAGTACCACCGATCCGGCGAGAAGGCATTCAACAAAAGGATAATCCACTCGTCGCCAAAATGACGTTTAACAACCTATCAAAGACATCGACTTAGCGCGGTACAACCCCAGGGTTTAATCCGTGCGGTACGATGAGAAGATAGTTGAACGGAACAAGGGAAACCCAAAAGCAGGAAACCCGTTCGTCGCCAAAGACCGGCGAGAGGCCAAGGTAGAGGGTCGAGGGCCTTTAGACTACCCGCATGGCCGAAGGCTTGTAGACTACCAGCACGGCCAAGGGCCGTGAGACGACCATCACACTCTATGCAGCACGATCGACCCCTCAATGCCATCGTGTCCAATTCACGGTCAGCTCATCCATGCCTCCTAGGATGGCGACCACCGTATTATGCAGCACGATCGGCCCCTCAGCGTCATCGTGTCCAGTTCACGGTCGGCTCGTCCATGCCTCCCAGGATGGCGATCACCGTTTTATGCAGCACGATCGGCCCCTCAGCGCCATCGTGTCTAGTTTACGATCAAGCTCACTGTGTAGAATAAATGTCATGATCGGGACGACGGATAACGAAGTATGCTCAAAATGAATCTTAAGGAGAAATATCATAGTGGAGATGAGCATCTCCAGTTCAGATACGCTGAGACCGAGGGTCATGAGGTGATCATTCATCACCTCTGAGACCGAGGGTCATGAGGTGATCATTCGTCACCCCTGAGACCGAGGGTCATGAGGTGATCATTCATCATCTAGGGGCTGAGGGCCGTGAGACGAGCATCTCCACTTCAGAAGCCAAGGGCCTGGAGACGAGCACCTCTACTTCAGAGGCCGATGGCCATAAGATGAGCCTCATGGTTGAGGGCCGTGAGATGCGCAGCATATCCAGAGACTGAGCCTGCCAAGTTTGAGTGTATCGAAATCATAACGTCCCCGAATCCGGAGGCCGAACGTCCCTAGGAAATCGGGCCGAGGATTGACGCTTAGCGTGACGAGGTCAGGGCACCCCCGGGTCGTGCATGACGAGGCTGGACAATCCTAGGCCGAGGTTCAAGGGGTCGAACATCCAAAGGAAGCCTAGTTGGGACTTTAGGAACCGATCCTCCTAAGCATGTCATGCCGAGCATCCAGAAGGAAAATTCCGGAGGCCAAACATCTCTAGGAACTCGAGCCGAGGATTGACGCTTAGTATGACGAGATCGGAGCGCCCCGGGTCATGCATGATGAAGCTGGACATATCAAGGCCGAGGTTATAGGGATCGAACGTCCGAAGGAAGTTGAGCTGGGCATTCAGGCCGAGTATTCCCAAGATGCTCGTTGTTAGAGGTGAAGATGCTCATCTCCAGGCCCTCAGTGTCTGAGGTGGAGATTATCATCTTCAGAATGAACCTCCAAAGTGGGGTTGCTTGTTTTCAGAATGAACCTCTAAAGTGGAGATGATCATCCCACGGCCCTCGGCCGTGATGCACTTCTCTAGGCCCCTGGCCTCTATGGTGGAGATATTCGTCTCGAGGCCCTCGATCGTGATGCACTTCTCTAGGCCCCTGGCCTCTAGGGTGGAGATGGTCGTCTAGAGGCCCTTTTCGGCTGTGATGGTCTTCTCTAGGCCCTTGGCCTTTGGGGTGAAGATGCTCGTCCCCAGTCCCCTGGTCGTGAAGGTCTTCTCTAGGCCCCTGGCCTCTAGGGTGGAGATATTCGTCTCCAGGCCCTTTTCGGCAGTGATGGTCTTCTCTAGGCCCTCGGCCTTTTGGGGCAGAGATGCTCGTACCCAGGCCCCCGACCGTGAAGGTCTCCTCCGGGCCCCTGGCCTCTAGGGTAGAGATATTCGTCTGCAGGCCCTCGACTATGATGCACTTCTCTAGGCCCTCTGCCTTTAGGGTGGAGATGCTCGTCTCGAGGCCCTTTTCGGCCGTGAAGATCTTCTCTAGGCCCTCGGCCTCTAGGGTCCCTTCTGAGTTCGTGGGGAATCATGTCAGTCAGCACCCCAAAGTCCCCGCGACTCCACAAGCTGCTGGATTGGGCGCCCGCCGTCTGCTGGCGGGCCCTTCTGCTGTGTGACAGTCATTCGGAAAGATTCAGATCAGATCAGAAAAATTCAGATCAGATCAGAACTTAAAAAATTCAGATCAGAAACATTCAGATCAGGTGAAGAGAACAACTTCTAAATCACCTACTTTACACTCACTTCCCTTCTCGCAGTACACTTTATTTACTTTTTGGGGGGCATAATGAGAAAGTCAAAACAAAAAATTTCACTTTCTTAAAAACCGTGAAGTCAAACTATCCATTGTTCATTCATAATTATTTGCCCACTTTACAGTTTCATTCTCCATACGCATCCTTAAGGCTACCTGTAAACGGTCAACATTTACAAGCAACCTTCAGTAAATTCATATATTGACAACTCAAATATATTTACGCTCTCTATACATTTGGTTACGTACCGTGAATAAAATCTTAATCATCTTGTTATATATTATGATTTTGGTGATTTTTTAAAAATAATTATGATTTTTAAGAGAAACTGCGTAAATAGAAGTGAATAAAAGTCAAATTGCAAGAATAGAAGGAGTAATATCCTAGCTACCGTGAAATGCTAAAGATACCCCATTTTGCGGTATCCCATTTTTACCTCACCCTATTGTGTGGCAACAAATGAGACAACACTTTTAAGTGGAGCAATACATTTAAATGTGACCTCATTTGGACCACACAATGTGTGAGGTAAAAATGAGGTACCTATAACACAACTCTACCCCACCTTTGTCATGATGCTATGATAAGATATTTTATATTCATAATAATAAAGCAAAAACAAAAAATAAGTCTTGTTAGGGACTTAGGAAATGTTATAATATGAAAATGGAGCACACATTTCTTCTGTTTCTAAAATAAAAAGACTATACTCGCATTTTGGAGCGATTTTACTTATTTAGGACTAACACATGTTTTTAAAAGTAATCATTTTGATGTAAAAAAATTAGACGATTACTGTTTTTAATTAATTCGATTATTTAAAAATTAGAAAAAAAATTGGACTACTATTTAAAAATAAAATAAAACTCATTCTAACTTTATATTGTTTTAGAACTTGATAAGATCTTTCCAACGAGATAGAGAACGCTTTAAAAGGAACTAAATACAACATAGCGTAAATATATTCTGGGATTTGAAATTCGTTTCTAGTCTTCCCGTAATATTGTTTTCTATCTCATTTGAAAAATCTTATCGAGTTCAAATTAAAAATGTTTGTAAATTTCAGGTTAATCTGTACCTTTTACGTAATGCATTGTTAATTGAGTTGCTATACACCATGAAGTCTTTACGTGATACATATTGGACTAGCACATTTTTAGCGTAAATACAATTTGTGATTTCAATTCAGTTGATTAGGTAGTCTTCTAATAATTGAAAAGATTTTATCGAATTCTAAAACTGATCTTGAAACGTCAGTTTCAAATTATTATTTGTATCACTTCTATACAACTTTAATCATACTATTTTTACTTTATAAAGGAAGAGGTATTAAATAAACAAAATGCTCCCCAGTTTTGTGTTTAAAAAGAGAGATAATGTCAGCCACCCTCAAGTCCTCAACTGCCCAAACCCGAAGGCCGTGTATTTGTGCGAGGACTACACTCCACCTGAAAATCAATATGGAGTAACAATAGTAGGATGGCAATGTTGATAACGGCCAGAGAAGTTTCTTCCCTATCTCAAGGTTTCATCTTCAACTCTCCAAGCCCCCTTATTCCCCGGAGAAACCAAAACAGCCGACTCATCTGTCGAGCGAGCGGCCTCCGTGTCCATGGAAAGCGGAATCTTGCTCTCCTTAATCCCAAAAGCAGGTAATGCAGTTTTAAACAGAGTTCCTCTTTGGGCATCCCAAATTTAACCTATATTCATCACGTTGTTTATTAATTATTGCTAACAGTAACTATACGGTTTTGCGTGCCAGCTGATTTGTTTGTTTTATAGGCTAGGGGTTTATGATTAACTAGTTACTAGTTAGCTACACTGGGTTGGAACCAGGAATTGCTTTTCTGCTGTTAATCTTACAAAGTTTTAGTCTTTTTATTTCCGATTTAGTTCGCCCCTCACTGGGATTTTAACCTTGAGAAATTAGAACCAAAAGAATCTAATTTAGGATGTCCCAACTCACAATTACCAATGCTCACTACCACAGATATGATTGTAAGCATTTTGAATAACCCACGATCCTCATCAAGGTTATATATAGTATAAAACATTAAATAATGGGACTTTTTAAAATAAAAAACTCAATCTTGAAATTTCAGAATTCTCCTGGAGTCCCTTCTTCTCTAGTTAAATCAATTGTGGTGATTTTTGTTGCTTCTTTTTTCCTCCAGATGTGATCAGGTAAGCACTGCTTGGGAAAGTGCAATAGAGTTTGTACTGGAAGCATTTAAAAGTACCTCAGATACCAGAAAAGAGAGAACTTCCTCTGCAAGAAGAGTTGCCGGTATGTTTTTAGCTTTTTATTTGTTAAAGTATCACTTACCCGCATGCCACCTCCATATAAGAGATGAACGTCCAACCTTATTATTCTCTATGTTTTAAGGTTGAGAGTTTGAGTACCCATACTTGTTGTGTGTGAAAATTTTAAAGCATCTAGCATTTTATATTTCTATGCCATGTAGTACATCCACAACATATGGCCTTTATCAGGATTTTGTTTTACTTTTCCAGCTGCAATTGAGGATACTAGTATTGATTTTGGGGACTTCTTCAAAGGCCCTTTACCAGGGAAATTTCTCAAACTTTTGGGTTTTTTGGCATTGTCAAGATTTGGTATATATGTACCACTTGGTGGGGTTAATAGGGACGCATTTGCTGGCAATTTAGATCAGAATAGTATATTGAGCACTTTGGATTCATTTTCTGGAGGCGGGATTGGTAGACTTGGAATATGCTCCCTCGGTATTGTTCCTTTCATCAATGCACAGATTGTCTTTCAGCTTCTTGGTCAAATCAATCCCAAGCTGCAAGAACTTCAGAAAAGAGAAGGTGAGGCTGGAAGGAAGAAAGTGCTTCAGTATACCCGCTATGCATCTGTAGGGTTTGCCATAGTACAGGTAATGACATTTTATGTTTCTTTATAGGGTTTCCGATGGACTCCCTCCGTATTTAAAAGATCACTATATTAGGTATTGGCACAATGTTTAAGGGATAAATAGTAGGGGTAATGAATAGTGTAGAAAAAATAGGAGAGAAGGTGAAAAAGTAGGAAAGAGAAGATAAAAAGTAGAAAAAGTAAGGGTAATTTAGTATTTTTGAAGAAAAGCTTGCCAAAAAGGGAGAGTGTAGCAAACTTTTATATACATCTCAAATAGAAAAGTGTAGCAAAGTTTTAAATACGGAGGGAGTATTAAAAATGGTTTACTTGAAGAGACAATACCACATAACCTTCTGTATATAAATCTACCATTTTTTTATGCATAATGATGCTTCCTGCTGGTTTGGGTTTCTTCCCAATAGGGATCCTATATGTCAACTCCCTGTGAAGCACTGAAGTGGCTAAATGAGGAAATCTATTAAACTTGTGTTCCTTAAGGCTGTGTACTTAAATAGGGGGGGGGGGGGGGGGGGGGGGGGGAGAAATGAGGAAAGGGGATGGGAAAATGAAAGATATGGAAAAAATGTTATGTATGGTTAAGCGGGAGGTGTTGTGAGGAATTGATATTTTAGAAAAATGTGCAAAAATGTTATATGTTTTGTATTTAAAGTTATATTTTAGCCTATCTATACAAACCATAATCTATATAAAACACCCCTGCAACCCCCTCCCCCATCCCTCCCTCCAAAGGGAGTGAGATGTGATGAGTTTGGAGGAGCACACAGCTTGCCCCCTCCAACTCACCCAACCAAACACAAACCACCGTACCACTTTCCTCCCACCCCCCCACCCCCCCTCAAATGTCCTCAACCAAACCAGGGTTAAATGTATATAAATTAGAAATATAGAAGTATGATAGTAAATTCCATTTTTCCTTGCACACATTCAATGCCATTTTTGTTTTGCTGTGGCAGGCAATTGGGCAAGCATTGTACCTTCGGCCTTATGTGGATGACTTCAATACTCAGTGGGTTCTTTCTACTGTTGCTCTATTGACTCTTGGTTCAATATTTACAACATACATCGGAGAAAGAATATCCGACTTAAAACTAGGAAATGGCACATCTCTTTTAATATTCACAAATATCATCTCCTACTTGCCAGCATCCTTTGGTAGGACAGTTGCAGAGGCATATCAAGACGGTAACTATGTTGGGCTTGCTGGAATTGTTATTTCCTTCATCCTTTTAGTCCTCAGCATAGTTTATGTACAGGTATATGTTTAAATATTTGCTGTTCTTTAAATTATCAAAAACACAGCAACGGACTAATGCTATCAAGTTTTCTTAGGAAGCAGAGAGAAAAATTCCACTTAACTATGCCTCAAGATATACTAGCAGGACTGGAGGCACGCAGAAATCTGCGTACCTGCCCTTTAAAGTTAGTATTCCTTATACCATGCGCTTCGATGTCACATTGGTATATCCTTAATCATTTTATTTGGTAATGAGTGCATTTACTTACCATTATCACAATTTTTTTACCACGGTGTATGTGCTATGCACTTTTGGAACTAGCTTGCTATTATTTGCATTTCTCCTGTCACTGATTGTTGATTTAGTAATACATTCCCCCAACCAAAAAGAGTTTTGTTTGTTCACAGTGTAACTTTAAAATTTTGTTTGTCATATGTTTTAGTCCTGAGTATCAAATCTTCTCAGTTCATATATTGTGCAGTAATTGATTGCATGAGGTGTTAATTTTGAGCAGGTAAATGGTTCAGGAGTTATGCCAATTATCTTCTCTACATCATCTATGGCTCTTCCGGGCACTCTCGCACGATTCACTGGTGTGGAAGTGCTAAAAAATACAGCAGCCGCTTTAACTCCAGCTGGTGAGTGTTATGGTATTGCTACACTTAGCAGAAAAGGCAAAACTAGGAACCAGTTTCAAGACGTAACCCCTAGTAAATACCAAAAAATAATTTCCTTTAACTTTCTATGCTTGAAATACCCTGGAATAAAATATTTAATCATTTACATAAATTTTGCAAGCATGTAACATCCTGGAACAACAATCTATCACACACGTATGTTATTGTTATGATTAAACATACGCGTAAATTTGTCAAACTATCTAAATTATGAAAAATACTAAAGAAGCGTGTTTCATTCGAAAATTAAATTTGTTCTTATAGGGTATTAGGTGCTTGATTAATCATAACAACATATTTTGAATCACACGGCCAATGAGAAGAATTTGTGTTTTACATGGGGAATTCGAGCATTAAACACTAGTGCAGAGTGAATGAGTAAAGAAACAGTGATGCTTGTTTGTTTGGTAATTACTTGGCTAGAAAAATACAGTGAAGCAAGAAAATAAAGTGCAGCCCATAAAATTTATGTATTCCTCTCTTTTGAGAAGAGAGAAGCCTCACACCCCAATCTCTACCCCTCTCGTTGTATATTTTTTTCCTAAATAAGTATACTTCAAACAGGAGTAAAACACAAGTCATTTGCAGAAATATGACCTTATTTATTATTTTTTTTGCCAAAAGTAGGATTCATTTCATCCCAGGGAAGAAGAAGCGTAGTTTACAATTCTTTACTCAGTGCATGAGTCTATTTGTTAATGTTTATCAAAATTTTAATATAAGGTTCTTTTTTGTCTTTCTAGAGTACACAAACATCATCTCACTTTCCCTCATGTCAATTTATCTTCTCATCTGAACACACCATCAGCGTGTAGAAATAAGCCAAGTATGTTTTCTCACTTAGGTTCCCTGTATCTCCCAACAAATGTGCTTTTGATTGCCTTCTTCAATTACTACTACACCTTCCTGCAACTGGACCCTGATGACGTGAGCGAACAACTGAAGCGACAAGGTGCTTCCATCCCACTTGTCCGCCCTGGAAAAAGCACTGCCGCTTTCATCAGAACAGTAACATCTTAGTTTTTAGCTAATTAATGAATAGTAACTACCTTAGCTATTTAAGGGCAGGCTCACCTTAATTAATCCGTTTACGCAGGTTTTAAGTCGAATATCAGTGCTTGGTTCTGTGTTTTTGGCTCTTCTGGCTGCTGGACCTGTTGTGATTGAGCAAGGGACACACCTTACTGCTTTTCGGGGGTTTGCAGGCACATCTGTTCTTATTCTTGTTGGCTGTGCAACCGACACGGCGAGGAAAGTGCAGGCTGAGATCATATCCCAGAAATACAAGAACATTGAATTTTATGACGTTGACAAGCATGTACCATAAATCAATCGTAATAACAAATTTTGGGATGGTCCTTGGTTGGCGATCGGTTTTTTCTTTGTACCATGAAGTGGGGTTTAATGCACCAGACCCCCTCGTGATATATAAATTCAGCGCTTTAGCTTCCTGTAATTTGAAAAATGCATCAACCCCCCGTGTTTTAATTAATCATGTCTAGAACCCCTTTTATGACTAAATTTAATGATTTTGAGATCACTTTTCCTAATATTCTGATTGAATATGCTAGTAAATATGTCAAAATCTCTAAATCATACAAAAATGTTAATCATTTTTCTTATATTTGACAACTGAATTTGTTCATAGAAGGGATTTTGCGCATAATTATATAAAACACAAGGGAGTTTGACGCATTTTTTAAATCACATGGGGCTAATACGCTGAATTTCCATATCACAGGGGTATTTGGTGCATTAAACCCCCATGAAGTGTGACACAAGATTCCATTCTGATTTTTTTGTTAGATCATTACCGTAACATATCAGATTTGTATATCATGCTACTAGTGTAGCCTGAAACTGTATATATGTAATATGTAATATTGTTATGCCCTATATGTAATATTGGTGTCATTGAAAATTGTTATGTCTAATTATTTTTTTTAATATTATTATGCCCTATATAATTTTAGAATGAATGTAATTTTGTTAAAAATAAAGCATAGTTGCCACTTGGTTAACATTCATTCCTTAAAACCATTTTTATTTATATTTTTCATTTTTATATGCAATATTGGTATTGCACCAATTTCATAAAAAAGATTATTTTGACATATGTCCAAAAACAAATCAAGGTAAGAATGTTATTGCAGTTTAGTCTTTGCTAAAATACTGTGTATTCATGTATGTCAATTCGGTATTCCCTCTTTCAAAGTATATAAAAGTAATAAAACTAAAAGGGAAAATGGAAACTAATAATCCAACTTTTTAGCGGTCTTCTTACAATAGTCCCACATTTTGATTATTCATGAATAATCCAACCTTTGCACCCCATCTTCATTCACTGACCCTGACTGGTTTATGACATGTTATTCCAAGTTATTTTCTTATCTTTGTAAAACATTATACCATAATTCTCATCTAATGATCGCATAATGTTTTGCAAAGATGAGAAAATAACTTGGTTAATGGCCAATATTGCAACTTTCAATTCATCTTAGGTGTTTTTGGTTAAAAACAGGTTTCGAGTTCAAACCTTAAGATTCTTTGTCTGAAAATGGTAGCATAGTGAGTTCCAATTGAAACTAAAGTCTTTTTACTTTGCATTACTTAAGTTTGCTAGACATGTTACCTCCAGGGTTTGGTTTAGAGTGCTGGTGGTTGGGTATGGTGGAGGGTGTTCTCTAAGGTTAAAAAACAGTTTTGAAAAAGCCAAGTGATATTGTGGGCAACAAGAGAACTGATTTTGATTCTAATATGCTTTTAAAAAGAATCAGATGCAGAACCAAGTTATTCTAATTATGCTGGTAGACTTCACTTTGTTATTTGGTTCATTCCAATGAATGTTGAGTTGTATTACCTGATAATCGATCACAGTCAATGCTCTTGGAAGTTTACCCACCAACAATGCATAACAGAAACATCAGAACTTGTTTGAACGCAGTGCAGATAACTAAATTAACAGAGTTGCTGTTATATACTTTTATAGCACATACAAGTCCACTTCAACATTGTAGCAGCAGTATAAATATAACCAAAATCACAAGGTGCTGTAAATTTCCCACCCTCCTATTTACAGAACACTAATCATCAGCCTCTTCTGAAAAGTCGGGCTCTTCAGGTTTCTGCAGTTTAGGCAGACGGACATCTTTGACCTTCTGAGCTCCTCTCCTTGTGTTAGCAGCAAACCTGGAAGCCAATATCATCACCCCGAGGTTTGACTTTCCCAGTGTGGACTGCTGGTGGTCTGATGAGTTGAGGGAAGAACTGGTCGTTTGACTTTGACTGCTCTCCTCCTCATATTCTTCATCTTCCGTCCTTGCCTCACTCAAAGCAAAAGATTCCATTGTGGCGAGATCCTTCGCGGTCATCCGGCGCTTGTGCCGCCTCCAGGCTGCCTGTATGAAGCAGGCAGCCCATGTTCTCCAATGGTGAGAGTAGAACCTGAAGGTGTGCTGCAGCTTCTTGCTGTGTAGCCGTCTGAACTGATTGGCAACAAATTTTAGATCTTCGGCCCTCAATGCAAAGGCTTCCACTTCGACAAGAGCTCTCACTGTCCTGGTGGAGGAGGGCAAGTTGAGAGTGGATTTTGGGAGCAGAGCCCAGGCAAGGAGCTCTTCCCCACAGAAGTCTCCAGGCCTTAACGTGATGGAATTGAAAAAACCGGTCCGGCCTCCATTGGTGGTGGAGCTCTCCAGCCTCCCTCTTATGATGAAAAGCATCTCCGTGACTGGGTCACCTTCCCGCACGATGTAAGTCCCCTCTGTGCTCAAGCATGAGACTACACGTTCACATATTGCATCCAGTAGTTGGTCGTCCATCTGAGAGAAGAACGGTACCTGCCGGTTGTGATGGGGATGAGAAAAGAGAAAATTCATATTATTAGGACAATAAAGGAGAGAGACGGTTGCATATCGCTTGAATTCGTGCAGCATTAATATATTTATAATTAGGACACACAGAAGATCTATCAATGGTTAAAGTTCTATCATCAAAGATAAACAAGGTACGACACAAGAAGTAGCAAGAGATCATTTATACTCCCTCCGTCCCTATTTGATCTTCCCACTCCAAAATGCACACATATTAAGAAAATGAAACTGTTTGTCACTGTTTGATACTGTTTTGCACTGTTTTGTTAACCAAATCAGGAAAGGGGACTTTTTTAAGGAACGCCCAAAAAAGGAAAGTGGGAAGATTAAATAGGGACGGAGGAAGTATGTTGGTCTGTATTTTATACTTGTTCCATGAGGGATAGATTTTCAAGATCAAGTATGCAAAACAGTGAGAAACAAAAAGGGAACGCTTAGAAGCTCTCCACTTCTTGTCATGCGATATTTTTTCTTTTGAAAAAAGGAAATATTTAAGTGTCTTACATCAAATTACCATATCTATATTTAGTGTAAAAGCGTAAGGTAAACCTCACCTCTACAGGTAATATGGTATCGCCAAATACGGTGAGGCAGAGTGTGATCCAATCACTTGGGTTTGTTTATATGTTTATTAGGGGACCAATGATTTACGGTAATCCCTTAGGTACCAGTTTGGTCATTTTATTTACCACTCAAATAGTTTGTCACATCTAGATCTAATATGAGTGCTCACTTTATGAGGATTCTTATGGGATGAATTGGTCCCAGTATAATAGAAACAGTAGTAAGAAAATACTAGGGCTTAAAGAGATAATCTATGCCAAATTGAGCAAGCCTATGCTCTGCCTATGTGCTAGACCTTTGTCGGCAGCCCCCTCCCCAGTCCCCACTCTTGTGATTCGCAGCATGATTTGTGAAGAAAGAAATTGAGTGAAGTGAAGTTCATACACGTCGAACAAGGTCGAGGCATAGATGTCGTTGAATGTCACGTCTAAGATCGGCAGGGAGGCCGTGCAAAATGGTTTCTTCATCCACTCCCCGAGTTGCAGCCCATTTATACTGAACAAAACGCCAAACACGTTTTCTCAAGTCGTCTGGGAGCTGGCGATGTTGCATCCACTCTTCTGTGTCTCTTCTCTTAAGTCTCCACTCCTCCAGCCTCACCGTCATAGATTGCAGGTATGTCTACATACATTTAAATAAGAGAATTATATATCAGTGGGATTCCCCATGTTTCATTGTTACAATGATGGAAGGGCCCTCCCTTTAGTAGATAATAGATAATACTCCCACCGCCCCTCCACTGTCCTTAGTTAAAGTTTCTGTTTTGGTTTAAGATGTTAGGTCTGATTCTACAGTTAACTCTCCCCTGAACATATTTGTATTCAGCAGAGCAAAGAGTGGACTAACTTACATTAGAGCTCAGGAAGTACTTCAACTTGTTTTCATTGTGGCATTATGATAAATCTTTCACATATAGAGGGATACAACAACAACATCCAAGCCTTATTCCCAAAAGATTTTGGGGTCGGCTAACATGAATCGATCCATGATAGCAGAGTAGCGATATTCATATTTCGATTCATGTCATGTGATGTGACTAGGTGATACTATTGGCCGTCACGCACCTACCACAGTCACATATAGAGGGATAACTTAGGAAAAATGATTTAATGATTTGTTAGATTTTAGTTTAATGACTTGCTACTATAATGGCAATAAAAACAAGTTACAGTACTTTATAAGCTCTGATCTAAGTTAATGTACTTTTTATGACTGCGTCAGAGACAAATTGGAGTACTTTATGAGCTCCGATGTAAGTTGATGTACTCTTAACTCCGCCAAGTCAAATCCAAGTACCATTTTGCCACTTTCCTCAAAGGAATAGTGAACAAGAACTTTATTTAGGGATTGAGGTAGTAATAGTTACACAAATATGGATTATGCATTACATCATAATTAGAAAGGAGAAAGAAGGAACTTTGAATTCTTTACAGGATAATATAAAAGAAACATTTACCTGCATATTCCCGATAAGATGTGCGAACAAAACAAGACCAAAAATGGCAATGAGTATGGCAAAGGTTGTCTCTCCAATAAAGGTGCTTGTGGACAAATTCTGCCCGTAAGAGCTGAAACAGCAAGTAGTGGCATGTGAAAAAATCCCATAACCTCATGTCATCTAAAACAAGCCGGTTAATGAATGATTCGAGAAAGGAATTTAAGACCTTTTCCATTGGTTGCAGCATTAAAACAAGTCCTACTCCTACTCTATATCATGTGCACGAAACATCTCCATATTCTAGCTTTCATAAAACACTGTTCTTTAGAGAAGCTAAAACATATCCATAGCAAAGCTTAGTAGCAGAGAAACTATTATTATTAGCACTAATTAGCATAGTGCCATAGTCAATGGAAAACGAAAAATTACCTGAGGTTCTGTAACCCCCACCACAGGCAGTAGAAGTATTTATGAAGAAAATTTGAGGAGACAACGTTTTTAGTGACGGCATATTCAAATATCCCATACTTGAAAGTGGTAGCATTTCCACTCGGATCACATTTTTTGAACACACTAGTGATATTTGCCCATATCTTGCGTGAATCATGGTTAATAGTGTCACAGTCCAAGTACCTGGACATACATCTTGTAACATTCCTTTCATGTCTGCAAGTCGATCTCCAGCAAGATGTATACCGATCAACTGACAACAAATACCATGATGCCCCTAACACCTGAATAAAAAATCATATTATCGTCATGCAGGAAAAAGAATCAATCGTTTCAGATTAAAAAATTGAGTTGTACATGGCTAGCCAGCATGTAGAGAAGGAGATTATATGCAGCCCCGGCCCAAGCAGTTTTCGTGACAACTCCTGTGGCTTTGACGATCTGCGAACTTAGCGGGAAAATAAGATATAGCCTGGGAATATACTGGATTAGGACAATCAGTGCAAGGGCATTGTTATTATGATTTGCATGTTGACTTCTTGTTGCTGGTATAATGAACCAGATGACAATCTGCAAGATATACCCAATATTTTAGTATACGACATACGGCATGCAAAAGGAGTATTTTTAATTTATTTTTTTGTCCCAAATGAATAGGCGTATTTGATCAAACAAAACTACTTTTCAGGTAATCTACTAAAAAGGTCATATAAGGTCATATAAGACCTTTTTAAGCCAAAGTTAGAATAATGATTTATATCTAGTATAACATACCAACACTAAAAAGGTCATATAAGACCTTTTTCTCAAAGGAAGGTCATACTATACTACTATTTAGTACTCCCTCCGTCCCACTATTCTGTCTTGTTGCGGTTTACGATGATTGACTGACGATAAAGCAAAAGGCTCCCCGTCCGCACTCAAATCATTTTTAGAAAAAAAATATATATTCAGAAACTACATTAAAAGCTTTACAAAGTCGCAAAACCCAGAATCAAATTTGATAAAAATTTGATATATAAAGTAAAAGATTAAGAGTAATTTGTGTTGACCAAGTGAATAGGAACTGGGACAATAATAGTGGGACGGAGGGAGTATTTACTAACATGTGACAACAGCAAAATTAGATATTTTCAGCTAAACAAAAACTACGTGTGAGGTCTTTTATTGATGGACTGTAAAAGCACCACCTTGAAAAACTTATACTACCTCCACTCCACTATCTCTGGAACATGAGAAAGTGACATGCATATTGAATAGAATGACATTATGAGATTGATAATAATTTTGCAAAGTAAAAATGAGTTTGAACCATGCAAATACTACCAAATATGAAATAGGACAAAATCTTAGTCTGATGGATGAAAGAGGAAAGAGGGGACAACGGTAATTGGACGGAGCTTATTCGTGGTGATTTTGCAAAGTAAGATTGGTTTTTCAAAGTAAGAAGGGATAAAGGGATAAACGGACAATCTTAGTGATTTTGCAAAGTAAGGATGAGTTTGAACCATACAAATATTACCAAACATGAGAAAACACAAGTATGCAATAAGACATGAGTTAAAAAGTTATCAACATGTGATTAAAGTACCTGCGGGAGAGGTAAGGTTGCAATAAGATCAAAGAAGAAACCAGATCTTAAATATCTCCGGGCAATGAGCTTAGGATCCATGACAAGCTCACCTTTACCAAACACCCGAGTATCGGGAGCAACATAAGCAGTTCTAAACTTAATGACCACATGCAGCAGATAGAAAAAATCAGCAATGGTACGGAAAATGGTGACCACGATTCTAAGTTTCAAGTCAGTCCTCACACAGCTCAGACCTTTAGTTCCACCGATAATAGGCAAATAAAAATATAAGGGGTCAATGAACAAGGCCAACAAGCAAGATATTATGAAACCCCTGTTCCAGTTCAGCACAATGTCACTGCCTGGATCAAGAACCCACTTTCTCAACGGTTCTTGGTTCTCTGGGTACACCTTTGACCTCCCAAACTTATGGGTTTCATTGTTTTTATTATGGTTTCTACTAGAGTTCAGCAATGATGATGAAAACTTATACTCAGAAGACAATTTCTCTAAGCTTGAAGGTTCAACTTCTCCTCCCCATTTTTGCTTTTTTTCATTAGAGCAGAACCTAATAGAAGCAGAACATGGTTTTAAAAATACAAATAAATTTACAGCAACAAGGAAAAACCTAATTTGAATGTAGGGTGTGAGAACATTTAACTATAACAGGCTTAGAGAATAGAAGCAAACAAGGTTTTTATAATATGTAGAATAAAGATTCCAACAGGAAAAAAACAGCGACACCAAAATTTGACTGTGTGGAAGAAGAATATATATCTCTAATAAGCTTATACATTTCTTCCTTTTTAAGCCAAGGAAAAACAAGTTCAATTATTTTCTACATTCAAGTCACAGGCCCAGTTTTTCTCATCACACACCCAATTTTTCTCATCACAGACGAATAAAAAGTAAAACTAGTATGACTCTATTAGAAGTCATCAACAACTGGAAGCAAAACAGGGTTTTAAAGTTGAATTAAAATTTCCAACAGGAAAGATGGGCAAATTTAAATTTGAGGGTACGGAACAGAACACATAACTCTAATAAGCTTATTGATTTCCCCCCTTTTAAGCCAAGGCAAGACAATAATAGATCTTTTATGATTCCAAGTTCAACTCTTTTTCCCCAAATTTCCCCAATATACATAAATCAAAGAGAAAATCATGACTTTTAAACTAAAATTAGTAGCAACTCTCAGTAGAACGCATAAACATACCTGACAAACTTCTCCTTCTTCATGTTCACCTCAGTGTGAAATGGGTTGGGGAAGAGTATGAATGGAAGAAACTCAAGAGAAACTGACAAAACGTAAAATACCAAAAGTGCCCTTTAATCATAACAATACAAGAAGCCAAAACGTTATCGTTCTTGGCTACGTATGTTGTGCAAGGCAACCTTTTCTCGGATTTGCGGGAAGCCGGGAAGAATGCAGAGAATGTGATTTGTAGGCCAGGATTGTATATTAGTCACAAATGATCATTGCAGTAAGTAGCACTGTAGAGGTGTATAACATACTCCCTATGAAAAGTTTGATTGTTAGTTGACTTTTAAAAATTGTGTATGAAAAGTTTGAATGGACAAGTTTGATTGTTACGCAGAATAATAAAGTACAAACTATGTGGTAGAAATTAATGCAGAGGAGAGAGAAATAACAGGAGTCACAAATTGATTGAATAAAAGAGAAAATGACAAAGTTTTTTAGACAATCCAAAAAAGAAAGTTGACAAAGTTATAACGGACAAAAAGAGTAGTATATTACTTCTTGCATTTGGTTCCATACAAATGTTTTGATTTTCTTTTTTTGAACCTCTGGTACAAAGATTCTCATTTTTATGATTAGAAACAATTAAAATTTTTAAATGATAATTTAATTATCAAATATTAAAAATAAAATATCTATAACGTCACAGTTATCATCATTAATGATTAATCCTATTGTATTGTAAACCTACCAAATTTATTTTTCAAAATATACTTGTATTGTCATATGTAATTATTGTGTAAATAACCCTGTCGTTTTGTATTGTGAGCCTTTCAACGGGACTGAAGTAGTAATTAATAATATTATTAATTCATTACTTTACATAATTTGTTTATTTTCTTATTTACTTATTCATTTATTCATTCGTTTACTTACTTACTTAAATGTAAACGTTTATGTGGCTCACTGTCTCTATACGGATTTATGATCCATTATACTTCATCCGTTTTTAAAAGTTTCAATAATGAGATTTTTGCACTGTTCACATATCTTACTTTGATTACGATTTTCTAATATTACGTTTGATAGAGTATATGCACTCGGACCCCCGGTCTCATGACTATTGGGCCTGTACAGCGGCCCACACACGACTGCCAAATGTCATTTACATCATTTGTATATTGTAGAGTTCATATATTATTTGTATGTACAGAGTCCCAGGAAGGCCCAGGAAGCACAACAGGCCCAAATCACAGCGTCCAGAGTACCAAGCGGTCCACAGTGCACACCAGGAGTGCCTTCGGCCCCCTGGCCGAAGGCTCCAATTCTCACAGGATGGCCAAATCAGGAAAACAAGGTTACCGGGAGAAAACGGCGAAAATCGGTAGCCCTCGGCCACCTAGAGCCCTCGGCACTAAGGGGGTCCCCGGTACTCAGAGCCCTCGGCTAGTCATCTACAGCCGAGGGCACCTTTTCCGACATGATATCCGCTCCACATGCGTATGGATCACCGTACCAAGTACGACGTCACATCCAACAGCCGCATTAAATACGGCCACATGCGATTGCCAGCGCCAACTAGTTGAGGTGATCCCTCGGCCAATGGACGCTTGACACGTGTCCCTGTCTGGCATTTATTGCTACTATAAATAGCACCCCATTTCCCCGTTGTAAACCACGCGGAGAACGCTTAATACATATCGAATATACACACTCTCTCTTACTTATTTGCTCTGACTTCTCTCTAGTTATTCTCCGCAATAACCCCTCGGATAAGCTACCCCTCGGGTACACTATCCATCATTTGATGCTCTCGTTGAGAGGTCGAACAATCAAGTAAGAAACCATCCCCCTCGACCAAACACAAAACGCCTAGCTAAAATGGTGAGAACAACTCGTGCCAACTCCAAGAATGTTGAGGACAGGAACCTGGCCCTCGGCGAGGTCGACGTCCCCGAAGCCTCTAACAGGGCTCCCGGGGCAGCGTCATCGCCGGGTTGGACCAGACGGCTGTCGACCTACACCAGCAGATTCAACAGAATGCCCCCGATGCCCGCCTCGGCATCGAGGCCAAGAAGAAGGACCGGAGCGAGAATCAAATTAGCCCTCCGGTCATCACAATCGACGTACAATCGGCGCTCTCCGCCTTCATCCAGACGCTCACCCAGAACCCGGGTGCCTTCAGCACTTTGGTTCCCCTCCAACCTCAGGTCAGGGAGAATATTATGCCTCCCCCTCATCCACACCCCCTCGGGAACCCGGTCCTCCGGATTGGGAACTCCGAGGGGGTCGTGGCCCAAGATACGGCCTCCCAGGAAGTCCAGTCCCGGGACCGCTACAACGTAAACAAGGAACAACTCCGGACCTCTGCCCTCGAGAGACTCGGAGGGGCGCAAGACCGCTGAGGGGTCCAAGACCGCCTCGGGGGAAAGACGTTCCAGAGGCCTCGGGAAAGTGGCGGGTCCGTCTCCAGGGCCAATGAAAGGCGTCCCCCTCAGGACAAAGGCAATGCACCTCTCCATGTCAACGACGCCCGCCACCAAATCAACCAGGCCCACTCGGCCCGCGTCCATTCGCAGGGGGCGGAGGCCCTCCCGAAGGACCCCCGGGACGAAATCATTGCGGCCCTCCAGCGTCGGCTCGACGAGATGGAGGCCACCAAAAGCACACGTCGCCACTTCTGCCCCTCATACAGACCTCAAGTATGAGGCGATGTTGGCCAAGATGGAGGAAATGCAGAAGAAGATAGCCGAGGGCTCCGGGGAACCCACCATACAGCTCCGGACCCGGACGCCATTTACCCCAAGGGTATTGGCAGCCCGGATCCCGGAAAAATACCGAGGGCAGCTCATCAAGCCCTACGACGGGAAGACTGACCCCCAAGAGCACTTACAGGAGGTACCAAAACAGCATGATGATGGTGGGGGCATCGGATGAATATTTGTGCCGCTGGTTCTTCTCCACCTTAGAGGGGCCGGCTTACGAATGGTTCAATCGATTGCCCGAGGGCTGCATTGACTCATGGCAAGAACTTGCCCAACGATTCTTGACGCAATTTGCGGGAAGGCGCCGCACAAGAAAACACTTCTCCCAAAGAAGTGTATGCTGACGACCTGAGGGAGATCTTCGCCATCATGCAGAAGTTTAGCCTTCGGCTGAACCCAAAGAAGTGTACCTTCGGCGTTCAAAGGGGCAAATTCTTGGGCTACATAGTGAGCCGAAGGGGGATCGAGGCCAACCCCGAGAAGATCCAGGCCATCATCAACATGGAGCCCCCACGCAACGTAAAGGAGGTCCAACGATTGACGGGCCGCCTGGCAGCCCTCAATCGCCTCTTATCAAAATCGGCGGAGAAGTCCTTACCCTTCTTCCAGATCATGAGAAAAACCGCCGGTTTCCAATGGACTTCAGAATGTCAGGGGGCCTTCGAGGAACTGAAACGGTACTTATCTTCACCCCCTGTGCTCTCTAAACCCAAGGTGGGGGAGATCCTATACCTTTACCTGGGCGTTAGCCCGGCAGCCATCAGCTCAGTACTCATCCGGGAGGAGGATGGCATCCAACATGCCATCTTCTATGTTAGCAAGACCCTCAGGGAAGCAGAACTCCGGTACTCCCCCGTGGAAAAAACGGTGTTGGCTATCGTGTGGACCGTCAAGAAGTTGGGCCATTACTTCCAAGCTCACCCGGTCTAGGTTCTCACTCACCAACCCCTCGGCGCCTTGATGAGGAGCCCCACCAGCTCCTCCCGAATGGTAAAATGGGATGTCTTCTTGAGCCAATACAACATCGACATCCGTCCTAGGCCCGCCATCAAAGGCCAAGCCCTAGCGGACTTCGTGACGGAATGTACGGCAAGATCAGCCATGGACGAGGAGCCCTCGACTCCTTCGGATGATTGGTGGACCCTCTACACAGATGGCTCCTCCGCCGCCAAAGCATGTGGAGGAGGGGTGGTTCTCATCTCACCCGAAGGCTTCCGGGCCTATTATGCAGTCCACTTCTCCTTCAAAATCTCTAACAATGAAGCCGAATACGAGGCCCTCCTCTGTGGCCTTCGGCTGGCAGCTAACATGAAGGCCCGACAAATTCACGTCAAGTGCGACTCCAAGTTAGTCGTCGGCCAAATCTCCGGGGAGTACGAAGCCAAGGAAGGGAGAATGAAACAATACAAGGAGGCGACCAAGGAGTTGCTTAAGGTATTTGAGGCACACTCTCTTACTCAAATACCGAGGGCTCAGAACTCCGAGGCCGACATTTTATCCAAGCTCTCGGCCGAATCCCCTGAGCACATCTCAAAGATTGCCAAAGTAGAAGAGCTCAGCCTCTCTAGCATACATGCTAGCCCCGTCATGAACATCCAACAAAGACCAGATGACTGGATCTCAAACATTATCGCCTTCATCACCACAAGGCAACTGCCCGAGGATGAGGCCCGCGCCAAGCTGGCAAAGCTGAGGGCTCCCAGCTACACTATCGAGGACGGAAGGCTTTACAAAAGGTCCTACAACGGGACATTACTTCGGTGCCTTCATCAAGATGAAGCCGAAGTGGCGATGGAGGAAGTGCACAGTGACACTTGCTCAGCTCACCAGGGACCCTTCTCCATGTCTCAAAGGCTAATAATCCAGGGCTACTTCTGGCCTACGATGGCCCGAGATTGTGCAGACCTTGCCCGAAGGTGTTCCGCATGCCAACACTTCTAGAAAGCCCCCGGCAAGCCAACGGTCAACTATGCCCCCATCAGCACATCCATACCCTTCGCCCGATGGGGCATAGACCTTGTGGGCCCTCTGCCGAGGGGTACCTCCCACAACAGGTACATCATCGTCGCCATCGATTACTTCACCAAATGGGTGGAAGCTGAGCCCCTCGCCAGCATTACTGAGGCCAGGTGCCGTCATTTTGTTCTCAAAAACATTCTCACAAGGTTTGGCGTCCCCCAGCAAATCATCTCCGACAACGGGACTCAGTTCGAGGCAGCCCCCTTCTGTGCCCTCCTGGAGGCATGGGGCATCAAACACACCTTCTCATCCGTTGCCTACCCTCAGGGCAACGGTCAGGTGGAGAACGCCAACAGGACCTTGCTCGAGGGCCTAAAGAAGAAACTGGAGGGCGAAGGGGGTGGCTGGTTAGAAGAGCTCCACAACATCTTATGGGCCTACCGTACCACCCCTCGGCGGGCAACTGGCGAGACACCTTTCTCCCTTTGCTACGGATTTGAAGCTAAGGCCCCCACTGAGGTATCTCTTCCAACCCGAAGGGTAACACAGTATGATCTAGAGGCCAACGACACCAATATGGCCCTCGA